AATAACCTTCAGATTGCACATCTTGACAGTCGCTCAGTTTCTAGGTGAATGGAAAAGGCGGTAAGATAATAGGTGCATTGCAACGTTAAAAGTATGTACAAAATTCAAGGGTTTATATACACTTATAATCACCTTGGCTATTCCAAACCTTTCTGGATTTGAATGTCCTATTGATTTTCATTTCTTTTAACCGATCTGATATTTACACATCGGTTCATGTGCTTTCTCTCGAAACGTCGAGGCGAAACGATTGGTTGGAAAAAGCTCTTTATGGAGATCATGATAATCTTATTCCACACTATAACACCTCCCCCCCCCCTCATAAAATAGAGATGGGTAGTACAGTGGTGTCCTTCGATTGATTAGTAACTTCTTGCTGGATCGTGACAAATTATTCTTCTACTGAATGTGACATAGTTTGAAGTAGCTGAATTAAATCCAAAATAGGTGGTAGTAAAGAAGGATGATTTACTGACACCTTAAAGAAGAGTATTTAATGAATCTTTTCCTAACCGCTTGGAAAAAATATTTCCCGTATTTGTCTATGGATGTCGAATTCCAATGTCGTTCGACATTGGTTTTTTAAAAATGCTTTAAGGTTATGCAAACTAATTGTGCGCATTTAAGCGTTACTATGGCTGAACAACTGACTTGTTCATCAGCAACACACTTAAAGGCTCTTCCACTAGTAGATTTTTCAAGATCGACCTTGCTGTGCTTCTGGAGCTCTTTGATCATCTGCAAGTTTTTCAAAGTACTCCTCTCTATGTTGGATGGATTTTTTTGACATAGCCCTTGAAGTATGCACTGACTTATTTGAGCAGGTATTGATTTCATACTCTTTTGGTTCTGATTGTCAGCAACCCTCTGTTCTGTAACTGTCACCCCGAGGTCTTGTATGCAGTTTCAGCCTCAGTTGTCTAAGAGTAGCTAATCAAAGTCAACATCAATTTGTTATAGTCCGATTAAGTTAACCATTTGTTTGTAATTCGAAGTCTTATACCCCGTAAACAAAACTGCTTAACTGAAAGCTAAGGTGAGTAAATTAATAGTTAATGAGTTTGTGAGTTTCATTTAAACAGTAAAACTAGATAATTTAAATGATCCACTGAGGGCACAATGATTGAATAAAGAGGGTTCCTTACAAAAAGACTGTATTGACAAGTAAGATGAAGGGGTGGAAAGTTTTTGAAGGATATCGAGAAGGAAGTATATGAAAGATTCCAATTTCGTTTGGTTTGCTATTGAACTGATTTCTTCCTGTTATCTTCTTATCGAATAGACGTTATTTATGTATTTCAATAGACAGCTGTCATAACAGTGGCTACAGAGATGGGGTATTGAGAAATGAACTCTTCGAAGTTAGACATTCCTAGAACAACAGATGAGGATGATCAGGATCATAACCTAATCCGAAATTTCTGGTACTGAATCATCGCTTACCGGGTCAGTTTTACTACCTCCTTCAGTTGACGGTATCGAAAATAGCATCACTGAATTTCACTACGATCCTGATGCCAATGAGGCTTCCGGTACTTGCTTCGGGCTTTATGAAAACCACTTCAAAGAGGAATTTTGCTGGTCAAGATGATTCCTGGAAGGTACGTCTCCTACTTCGAAAGCATGGTCCACATGAGTTTGACCAATACGGCAACCCAACTTCGCCGCAGAACCTACTTGCCCGCACTTTCACCATCCAGACACTGAATGACATATCTGTAGAATATCAGCGACTGCGCATGCTGCAGCATAACAAGATTTAAGCATAATCCAGACACGACGGTGGTTCTGAAGTGCATACAATTCGCCAGACATCTCATTCTTCCCCACCACCCTCTAGTCACATACCTCGAGGCCTTATCTCGCTTGCTCATCGATCCAGTAACTCAGACGATACCACCTGACCCTAAAAGAAGACACTCCCATCACCTTTCTGGTATTGTGGTGGCTGGTATTTCGTCAAATCCGACTCACAAAAACAACACCGACGCCGGGATTTTAATGCTGGGAGCCATGAGGATGGCTTTTGCCGCCAACACACAAAACGAAGTGTACAAAGATTATCCTCCAGATACCACCACAAATCCCATTCTCGATCAGTAGGTGAATCTCCTGGCTTGACAGCTGATTTTCATGCTCATGCACCTGACTCCGGAAAGAATATCGAGAAGACTACTAGTCCCCCAGTAAACAAGGAGATAGATGCAAGAAAAGCACAGTCTGACCCCAAATAACACCCTTTCGAAGAGGGAGGTGATATGGGAATAGAGAGAAATGACTTATCCGGAGAGGGACCAATCAAAATGTACATTACGCTATCACTTGTATAGTTGGACAGAGGGTGGATCAGTGACTCAACAGGATTATTTTAAACAGCGAACTATCTGTATACCTCTTGTATTTTCTTTTCTTTTAGTCTTCGGTCTTTCGACCTCAATACACGTTTCTACACTTCCATCTTGTCTTCTATATTAATTAGCCGGGTCCCGGATCAACTAAGAATTTGTTAAACATTGGTGGTTGATACTCGATATCTATGCATCATTAGTGGCTACAGCACACTGCAGTTTTTGAAACATAACAATTTCATAAAAAATAAATTTTTTCAATATCAAGAGACGAGGAATTCAAGTAATAAAACTCTTCGAATATTGAAAATTGATTTCATTATACCATTGGTCATGTTCTACGTAAGGACAAGATTTTAATACTGACACTATGGTCGCCTTTGATGATTAAAAGATGCTGGTCACTGTATATTGTTAAAAGATTTTTCGCAGTAGTATTAGAGTCACTGAAACAGCTTTCTGCAATTTCTGGCACTTCATTATCCTAGTTATCACCACTTTACCAGAACTTATTCATTTCACAGGTTTCTCACGTTATAGCTTGTAAGTCTGTCATCAAATGGACCGAACTGACTGGTCACTATTAGCATATGGACTCCTATGCGGATAGCTCGATATTGCCAGGGTTTTCAGTTTAGACACTATTAACGCCAATAGTGATTGGCCATTTCATTCCAGTCAACAACGCAGATTTATAAGCCATAACAGGAAGACCCTATTATGCCCATCACACAAGGAGTGGATATCGTGACTCACTGGTCTAGTGGATAACACTGTGGTTCTTGAAATGTTTGGTCGTGGTTTCGAGTCTCAGTAGGAACAATATCACTCATGGGGAGGTGGGTACATTCAACTAAGGGGCCTTAGATGGGACGAGAAGCGCACCCTGGATTCTCTAGGTTAGTTTTGAAGACAAAAGTTTTCCATTCGAATGAATCGTCTATGTCTTCGGAGAGTATTTCATTGTGTTGGACATAAAACTATCTATAGTCTCTGGTAGTATAAAGTCGCTTTATGCTACTGTCAGACAGATTACATCCTACATTTCTTGATAAAGTGGTTTCTGACGAAGACGATGTTCGTATCGGACGAAAGCCCGCAGAATTCGTAATATTTTACCGCATTTCAAGCTGTTGTAAATTAGCATAAAATGATTTTTCAGTTTTTCGAAGGGTCTTTCATTTTTCAACATGCTACCAATTAAGTAGCAACTTCATGCATTTACAAATACATATGGTCCATGGCCAATAATTTGTTGTGTTAGTGTCATTTCCTACGCCTTTCCCCTTTACTCCCTGTATCACTTGTTGTCGAAGCAAAATAAATGACGAATCAGTCCAAGTAATTGGATGCACGAAGTCTGAAATACTATAAAACTGAGTAAACCGATGAGGGGTTACTTTGTTCCCATGGTAAGTGGCGATACCGTCCGAAGTGTTGTAACCGTAAGTGAACCAATCTTTGTGGATCGTTTTTGTCTCGTCGTGTTTCCGTCCTTAGAATCTTTGAAGGAAGCCCTAAAGGAGTAAGAGAAGCAGTCGTACACGCACTTCGTTTGCAAGATTCACATTTGTAAGGTGATCGAAGAGTCTATGTTATGTTTGTTTGTTTAGTTTAAGACTAGTGTAATTAAAATGAAGTAGGACCGATTCACAGTCACCACAGAAGTGACAAACTAACCACACTCTTCTTCTGTACGCTCATTATTCCAAAACCACTTGAAGTTTCAATATGACTTCCTATGTCTATAATGTGTCTCCCAATCGCACTGGTTAGAATTTTGCTTCCTTTCAGGCATAGATTCTTCATGATATGCTCAGTGAACTGAATGGATGCCCTCTTCTCAGTTCTTCCAATAGGTTATCAATGATTTTATTGTATAATTTAGGATTATTTATTTCCTAGTTTCAAAATATTCTATGTCCTAACAACTATTATACTTTTAGGTTGTATGCAGCTGAGGAGGACTTATGAAATAAAATGACAACATTATTTTATTCTACAAATTTTATCCTCCTAGCCAAATAACAATTGATAAATGTAATGCGAACTGCTCAACCCAGAAACCCATCCTTGAAATATTTAGAAACATCTATCTGTTCACTTTGCTGACTAACCTGCTAGACTTTAGCTTACACCACAGTTTTCATAGTAAACCAACACTGCTTCAGGATTCATTTAAATTCAAGCAGCTGTAGAATCTTTCTCAACGTCTACCGAAATAAAGTTCAAGAGATCTTTGATTGATGACTCACTCCTCACAGGTCGAAATAGACTCAATAGCCAAGTGGACATTCGTACAGTAGACAATAAACCACACCTACTGTGTGAGGAGGTCTGATGATACTACGTGGTAGCCTAAACCTTGGTAGGTGGAGTCAGATTAGAATTTGTGACCCATTGGTTGAAAGTCACTGCCTAAACCAACGAACCAAAGCTCCACATTCCTCATAGGTAAATTTTAAAAGTCCTAGTTATACTTTTATCTTAGGCTACGAAGACTAATTTGGATGAGTGGTGTGTTACATCATTAAATCAGTGAAATAGATTGATTAGGTTGGATTCTTACAACGCACTAGAATTACTGAAACATTTAAATCCAACCATTAGGAAATAGTTGTTCAAAAGTTCTGAGTTTTCTATTTTTTTTTTCAATTAATATCGGTTCATCATAGAAAAAACCTCAAAAATTGTAACTTGAAAGATATTTTCTTTGTTTTATTTCAATATCGATGAGTTTCACAACGTAGTCAGTTTTAATAGACTAGAGTAACATCTCAGTTGTATAAATTCAGAAATAATGGCAAACTAAGCACTACACTTTGCATCATTAGTAGTAATAGTAAGTAGAAAAACAAATTAAATTTTCTTATGAGTTGAAATAATTCACTTAATAACATGTCATTTCACATTCTTCCAAAGTGAGAAAACGATTCGAGTTACCATGACAACCACCATAAGTAAACGGAACACATCTCCATTGTTCTTTACTAAAAGCAAACATTAAGAAATCTGCTCTGCATGGTCCTGTGTCAATAGGCTCCAAGCATATTTTATTGATTGTTTCGTTTCTTCTGTACGATATTACTTCAATGTAAAATAATAAACACTTTAAATTAAAAAGTAACTCTAAGTATGCTTATAAATTATTGGATAATAAAAAAAAATGACCTCGAACAACAGATGTTGACCATTCGGGTATTAACGATGACTGACTTTCTGTACTATGGTAATAATCATTTAATCTAATCCCAAAAATCACCGTGTAAATGAAATCATAAAATAAACTCAACGTAAATGGTGGGGAAACCTGAGGAAATAGGCTGAATTTCAGAGAGGTTAGAAAAAATCTAGGCGAAAACTAACAACAGATATAAAACTATGCTACTAAATCATTCTCCTCTTCTTTTTTTAAATACATTCTCAATATTCATTTTTCGGTTGATATGTGATGAAAATACTAAAAATATGTGTTGATCAGTAAATTGTTATGGATGTTATATCCTCAAGAATGAAAGTCTTACGCTTAAATTTTATAAATCTATCCGATGTAAAATTTGAATTATCTTTTTCGCTCACTTTTCCGCTCCATGTGTATCGCTCAATTTTAAGGCTTTTAAGAGTGCTGCTTTTCTATTGGTTAATCTCCCAATTTTAATACATTAGTTTGCCTGTTTGCACCAAGGGTGCGCATATTCCATATAAACACAAGAGTTATGCCCCTGGATTGTTACATTCATATTTGCGACCAGATTAAGCCCTCTTCACTTCAATATTGTCTTTTTCTTGTACCAGTTGCGCTAGTTGACAGGTATTTTATCGTTCATTCAGCAACTAGATCACGCGTCTTCAGTTAACCATATCCGAGACTGTCAACATGAACAATAAACCCTACTGACCATTTCTTCACGAGAACCCCAAAAATTTAAAATTATGAAATTAAAGGTCAGTAAATATAGTGAATTATTGGAAGAAAAATACCTGATCTAATACTTGTTTTTTATAAAACTTAGTAGGGCACAGGTTCCGGATCTATCTAAGATTAAAGCACTTCTTGTCTAAGTTGATCCAAACATCTCACAAGAAGGCCTATCTCAGTTCATTGTAGTATTACTAACTTTACAAGCGTTTATTTCTTTGCCATCTGCTTTATCAGGCCCCTATATCCTCCTATACAAAGGGTATCCAATAGTAAAACTAAAAGAAGTTTTGACTTCGATCTGCCTGTAGTTGTTGACTGTCGTTAACGCAACTGAATGTGGTAGGAAATTAGCCCATATGTCATTGTTAATTGTTATGTTTGGCACAATCATACTGCAATGGAACCTTCCATCCAAACTTTTTACCGTAATCTGTAAACCCGAATGTAGGCAGGTATACCAGCCCCAAAAGTCATCTTTATTATCACAAAAACCTTTGAAAGCTATTTCTTTTGGTAGCATAGCACAGCGAGTAGTTTGCCTTTGTTTGTCTAATCTTTTGGATGATGACGACAGATTTCCCCCACCTATCTGTATCTTGACCATTCTGAGACTGCCAGAAGTATGTTCATTTTGGCAGTTTGATTGAAGTTGGATCGATCGCATGCAGAGGTGGACTGAGTTGTCCTGACAGCAATAATCTTGGGACCGCTGGAATGTGAATCGCAAACGCTTGTCTGTAATCATGGTATTAGGCAGATTATGACAGAAGAAAGTTTTTCACATGAAATCTGACTAGTTTTTGATGTTTTTAGTCGGACCACAGATATGACTTCAGGCGGTTTTTAAAATGCATTCAACCAGACTGTATGTGACTCACCTATATTAAAGTTTGTGAAATCTAAGTCAGTATGCAGTAAAGACGTTTGTGTTGTGAAAATAGTACAGAATGTGGTCAGTTATAATGTCTTCTTTTTGAAGGAATCATACTGATCGTGTAAAAAAGTATCTGAAGCCCTGGTCTGTCTTTTGCTAATAAGGAAAACTCAGGCAGGAACTCTATACTTTAGATGTCTAAGTGATCCCAATGAAACTGCTTAAGGGCTTCGGTTGGAAGGGTTTCGAAACTACAATCTGTTCGCGAATAGTAGGACATTTTTTACAACTGAGAAAGAATCAAAGCGACCAAACAGATACTGTAAGTTTCTGTTCAATGAAAAAATACCACTGGACAAATTGAGTAATAAGAAATCACCGAAGCTAACCTATAGGTTTCGCCACTTAGATCCAAGTGATCTGAACACCGGACAGCCATTTCACTCATTTGAGTAGAACTAATCACTGGTACACGCGGACAAATTCAGGTCACATAGCCAAATTAGTTGGGATCACCTGAGTTCGGCTAGCTGACTTGGACGGGCCGGTATACCTAAAACAGGATAATCAGTTTGATATGAGTCATGACACTTATGTCAGAGACCACAACTTGTAATCTTGGCTGCCGAGTAGTTTCCAACAAAAACCCTGTTGACCGGCACCGCAGTTAGGTCAAGAAGGACCATAAAATTTGTAAATCATTTGTAAATTGATCGTATGCTGGACAGAATCCAAATATGATGAATAGGACTTTGTAAGAAGACACGACCTTTTGTTGTATAGTGGATGTTAGTGACAATTCACCTGAAATTGAATAGTCCGCAATTAAGTGAGAATTAGCGGCCACTTGTTCAAAGTCCTTAGTTAGCTGAGGCAGAGTTTCAAGGTCACATCCAGTCAGGATAATTACCCCACGTTACAATCGAATCCCAAATTTCTCACTGTAAGTCCAAATTAGTCGTTTATGACTGATGAGCGTGGTAAATCGGTGGTGGTTATTCATGGTGTATAAACGATATACCGACTACTACTTGCTTCTCGTTTACTGCACAAGTCTCCTCTGTATGAATCAAAGTGCTTGAGGGATTCATAACTGACTTAATTCCTTTTCTAATTTAAATATTATAAGGTGAATTAACCACAGTCAAAATGTTCTTAGTAGAATGCTACTACACAGATTTCTTAGTAATAAAATTGCGTCTATCAGCTGATGCAAAACAGCTTCAGTGGTCTTAATTCAAAGCGGCTATCAGTTGTTCTGAAAGAATTTACGATGCGTTTTCATGATAAATAGTTCTGAGGTTATTTCAGTTGAAAGTGACACATCATAATGGTTTAGCTATATGAAAAAGCGGCTGTCATTAAACATAGTAAGAAAACCGTCCAGAACCGATAGCAGTAATAGTGCTGTAGTGGGGAATCAATAGTTAGTACAATAATTAACCCCTACAAGTGGGGAAACAGTTATTGATTTAACTACTACAGTTGGTATGACACAAATGGAATTGGTGGCAGACTGACGTAGACACTGTAGTTCTTCATTAACCTAATCTATGAATGCATATGGAACTGGCTTGACATATGGTAAGAAAGAAATAAAGGAAAGTATCTTGATACAGTGGTTCAGTTCAAATTGTACAATAACTGTAAACCTACAGCGAACGTCAGCCAAAGGGTTGTCTACCTTTTAAGGATGTCTAATTATATTTCATCATACTGGTCCGAGTGGCACTTCAGTCAACTGAATTTACTCAAACTTAGAAAGGTTCAGGTGATTCAACTTACTCTGAGTGATTTAATAAATCCCTATGAAGGTTGTGATGCAAAAATATACATGACGAAGACTTTGTACAAGTTATTTAGAATAGACAATGCACAGAATGACAGTAATTTGAACAGCCTTTTCTAAGGCAGTTAAACCTAGTTCCTTGTGAAGCGTTTCAGAAACAGTCATGATTTCAGATGTACGATTAGTCTGTGAGCCTGTATTATCAGCTATTAGCTTTTATCTGGTGTTTTAGCGCGCAATTAATGCACACAAAGAATCACCCATTTTCCTAACACGTGACTTCCTCATTGGTTAGGCCTTAGAATCTGTACAACATTATCAAGTTGCATTGTTATCGATCGATATTCTTCCTCATTGCATTCCTTGAATGTGAGTTACTAAGGGAATAATAAGACGTTATTGAGTTTGATATTCCCGTGACGCTGTCAACTCTCAAAGCGTTCTTCACTTGAGCCACATGTGTTGCCAACCACAAAGACGGCTTAAATTTTTTAGTAAATCACATTTTTATAATGTCAAAATCCCAATAACCCTGATTTAAGGCTGAATTATTAGCTGCCTTCAGTAGTGAACAGCTTTTTTTTACCTTCTCCACCAGATGATGCAACCAAATCGGCTGTTTGTGTGGAAAGATGCTCAATTTATACATGCGAATCGGCTTAGTTTGTTTACAAACGTTGCAAAATTTAGTTCCAAGGGATAGAACCTCCGTTTGTAATTTGTCGAGTACAATGCTGAAACAATTAAGAACGTTCCCCGCTACATTAGCCAAAAACTTGCATTGAGTCAACTTGTTTTCATGAAAACTTAGAACATAGGTTCTTATACTAAAAAACGTTCACCCGATCTGAAGTAAGACGAATTTAGGTATAAAGGGACGCGGTGACACATGAACTGTTAGTTCAGTTGTTGACGAGGTATTCACAGCCCAAACTGGTTTCGACATTCTAATTTGCTACTAGAATACCAAGTTTAGGCTGTGAATACCTCGTCAACAACTGAACTAACAGTTCATGTGTCACCGCGTCCCTTTATACCTAAATTCGTCTTACTTCAGATCGGGTGAACGTTTTTTAGTATAAGAACCTATGTTCTAAGTTTTCATGAAAACAAGTTGACTCAATGCAAGTTTTTGGCTAATGTAGCGGGGAACGTTCTTAATTGTTTCAGCATTGTACTCGACAAATTACAAACGGAGGTTCTATCCCTTGGAACTAAATTTTGCAACGTTTGTAAACAAACTAAGCCGATTCGCATGTATAAATTGAGCATCTTTCCACACAAACAGCCGATTTGGTTGCATCATCTGGTGGAGATTTGGAAAGACTTAAACCAGTCCTAGTGGACTGCTGCTATTACAATAAAAACTCAAGTGATATATTGACTAGGGAAAATCGTGAGGCTCTCAAACAGCTCAGAAATGAAAGGAACATCATCATCACAAGGCCTGGTGAAAAAGTTGGAGTCGTAATTAAGGGCAGAGTTGATTGCATACAGAAAATGGATTCAATATTGGAAGTCGAAAACAAATTTCAGAAACTACAGTCAGCTAAAGATATAACCGAAAAAGTAGAAAGGACCTAATCATCTCACTAAAGAAACTAAAAGATAACGGAGATATTTCATTAACTTTATATAAAATTTTGAAACCTATAGACAATACAATTCCATGGATATGTGGCCTATGGAAAATACGCAAACTTGAGGTGCCTCTTCGCCCTATCCTAGACATGACCAACTCACGCTGTCGCTAAATGGCTACTACGATTACTTCAACCTTTATGTGACAAGTTAGAGAAATATAAAATCAAAGACACCTTCCAGTTTGCAGACAAAGTAAAACACGTGTTTGAAACAAATACACGGGATCCCTAGATGCCCCATCTTTATTTACTAACGTCCCTCTAATGCAAACCATAGATTACATTTGTGAACAGTTATTGAAGAAGAAATTAGACACTGGCATTCTTATTACAAATTTGAAGGAACTATTTCTAAAATGTACTATGAATGTTCAGTTCATCTTTAGTCATAATATTTACAGACACATTGATAAGGGGTTTTAGGATCTACACTGGGTCCAATATATGCAAACATATTTGGGCAAAATTGAAAAATGATCGTTTTAAAGATCAAATTGGCAAGTTGTACTATCAAGACACGGATGTTACTTTTTTATTCTTTAGTAGGTGCATATGTATTAATTCTATTCTAAACCATTTCAACAGCTCTCATCTATTACTTAATTTTACATATACAAATGAAATCAATGATTCCATAAATTCAATAAATTTCAAGGAAAATCATCTTCACCAACGTCATGACATACATCAAACACTCTACAACTTACTTTGACTACCTGCAGGTTGTTTATTTCCATCTGTATTTGATGAATTTGAGTTATATGCAAGTGTAAACCATACCGATATCATTATAACGAATATTACCATTATTAAAATGGGTACAATAAAAATCCAAAATTCATATGATATTAGAAAGTTTTTAATTTCTTCTTTACCCCTTGACAATGAATTCTTTTCACGTTCCCGTCGATTTTCACTATCGTCATTAATACAATCGTTGTTAATATCTTTTTTTTCATTTTGATTACCAAGTACGTCATCACTATTTCCTGTATCACTCCTGGAGATATTTGGAAATGTCACATTAGGTGCACAGTTTGACAAATTCAATGTTTCAACAGTATCATTGAAACATTTCAACAAATTTAAATGAACCTCGTTATCCTCATTATTATTGTTATTATCGTCACTAATATTGTTATTATCATGTACAATAACTTGATAAATTTGTTTTGGTTGCATAGTAATTTCGTTGTTCATTCGAACTCCCGTTCAATATTTAATAATTTTAATTTACCCCACTTATCTGGTATAAATGTTAATTAATTCTGGATTTTTGCATGCGCTATTAATATGTTTCATGTAAAAAAAAGTGATAACTATTGATCTTCTCTGTACATAAAAACTGTAATTAAAACTACACACAAGGACAGATATAAAAATGAACTGTGAACACATGTAACTAGTATTCGTACTTGACACTAGAGACTGAGTTGCGAAAAATCACGTTCAATTTTTGCAGTTTGAAAGAGATTTTTGTAAATTGCATATGATTCGCTATGCAATCATTATTCATCAAATTTCTGTTAAGCTTGTTCACTGATACACATACAGTCATACAGAAAATAAGGTTATTCTTTCTGTGCATTTCGTAGTTATGAGCAATAAAAATAGTTTCATCAGCTTCTTCCTACTGTATTTCACACTAATATGTAAGAGATTTCCTGTAGATTTGAAGACGTTTCTTCGTCAGCAAATAATATTTGTCATGCAGACAAGATTATGTTAATGTAGTTTAGGCAAATTTTGGATTTGGTGAGCTTTACTTTCACTTTGTACTATTTAGCTATCCAACTAAAGGTCAAGGATCACAAGTAGAGTTTCAAACAGCTCTCCCTCAGTCAGAAAACATGCAGTTTATAAGAAAAAAAATAGCTTGAGGTATCTTAGACACAAAAATTTGCTAAGCTGGAAAGAAGTTGTGTATCACTACATATTTCCAAGCCGTTTTGACAGATAAGAGATTTGAGAAACTCATTTTTTGTGTTTCTTCATCTTAAAATAAAAGTTAGCAGGTATTTAAATCAAATAATGATATAGAATTTCTTCAGTAGATTATACTGTAAAGGAGTAACTAATTTGATAATAATACTGACTATAGACCAACACTACCTGCAAAGATACTAAGAACCAGGATTTTCGCCTAATTTATAAATGTTGTAGTGGCCGCACGCAAGTAGATTGAAAGGACTGACAGGAAGGCACCCATTTGGTTCCCCAGGAATATGAGCCTGAAATTTTAACTGGTTCAGGTGCTGGAAAACACATAACACATGTTTCAGCCACCTCAGTTGCTTACGTTTCACAACCGACCTGCTTGTCTCCCTTAGTACCCTTTGCCTAACCTCTGCATTACTCAAATGGTGATTCCACGATACCTGAACAATACATAAAAGACACCAGTGGTCAAAATTTATTAGCCCCTCAATATCTCCCAATTTTAACGGCCATGTCTGACAACTGAATAATGGAGAAGGACAGACAACCTCACAGTGTGGGTAACTGGATATCTCTCCAGTGCCGGAGATGACACAAATTGAAAATTGCCAAACGAGCCTTCTATATCCAAGCTGAGATTTCTTCAGGAACCAATCCGTTAGGATTGACGCAGTTCACCAAACAAGTGAGGTGGTCGATACATTCCACCACTTCACTGGGAGTAGTTGCAGCACACCAGTCCTGGAGTATCATCTAATGTTTGATGGATGTGAAAAATATCCAAACGTACTCAAATTTTTGTTCAAAATGTCCAGAAGACCATGCATTATGTCATCATTTTCACCTAACAGGTATATATAATGCATCTGTAAAGAAGTTGAACAGGAATGGTGACAGAAGACACCACTGGTGGACACCACTACTTGCCGCAAATTCAGATTAAAACTCTCAGTAAACCTTTACAAGACGGCATGAGTTTGGATAGAGACCCTTGATTAACATTACGCACTGATCATCTATACCCTAGCGTCAGTTGCATTCAGACTATGTTGTATACCCTAGTAGGTAGTTCTAAGCTTTCATTTACTTTTCGGTAGTTCTTTAAGTAATGTTAATCTGCCATGAGAAATAACATATTATTTATTACTATTATTTGTCCTTTGGGTTCCCAGTGGAACATACGGCTTCAGTAGCACGTCTACATTTCACTCTCCTTTCTGAAGTCTTTTCAAACCGGCTCCACCATTGCCCACAAGCTTCCATTTCTTCATCACACAATCTCCTCATTCCAACCCACCCTCTCCACGGACGCTCAACTCGTCTCTTCCCATTCGAATTCCACTCGATGGCCTGGTCTGACCTGCCACGTGGTGAACCCAACCCCTCTTCTCAGTCTATGCCCAATCCATCTCCATCTCCACCTTCTTCAACTGCATATTTGTTAGGCCATGGTTGGTTCGTTCCCAGAGTCCCTTGTTGCTCATTCTGATTATTCTCGCCATCTGATCTGATCTTCAGTATCGAGTGAGCGTAGGCGGCAGCTGTTGATGAATGTTTGTAGTTTGTTGGGAATGCTTTTCGTGAGGTGCCAAGTTTCCGAACCACTGCCTTGACGTCGGTGGTGAATATCCGAATATTGTTCACGCTTTATGCTGAATGCAGTGCAATAAATCTCCACACTGCTTTCAGACTAATCAAAGCTCATCTTGCTTCTTCGATCCTGGATTTGACATCCTCATCTGTGCCTGTTCCACCTGCAGTTAAAACGGTGCTGTCTAGGTAGGTGAAAGAGACAACTTCACTTAGGTTTCTCCCATTCATAGTGATTGATGCTTGTTGTTCATGTCATTGTTGACTGGGTATCTTCATCACCTCTGTCTTCTCTACATTCACTTGAAGTCCCGTCTTTACTGCCCTGCCTCTTCTGTCAACATGTCAGTTTTCGCCTGTACATCTTCCAGTTTGTGTGACGAGAAATTAGACATAAATCATCGGTGAAATCTAAATCTCCTCTGGGGTCTTTCCATCAATCCAGCCAGCGTATTCTCCTCTTCTCGCTCCTCAAAGTTTGTTGCATAATCCAGTCCAGTCGACCACAATTAGAAAGATCGCCGATGACAGTTGGTAGCCTTGTCTTGTCTGTCAACCTATCTTCACTTCAAAGACGTCACTGAGCTTTCCATTGTGAATCACCTGGCACTTGGCATCTTCATATAGCTGGCGAATGAGGTTGATAAAGGTTTGTGATACCAAGACAGTAGTGTTGAAGCAGCAGCCAAATTAATTCTAGGTCAACGCCTCGAGTGAGGGCCTTTCCAAAGTCGAGGAGGTTGAGGCAGAGTTGAGTTGACTGCCATTCTATGCTCTGTTCTATAACGGTGAGTGGCGTAGTGTTGCAATTTGATCCACACATGATGTGTTCTTCCTGAAGCCAGCCAGCCAGCCACCTAGTCTGTTCTGGTCGTATTTTGAATCCACTGCATCCTTTACTTTCTCCAGGATGATGTGGCTTAATATTTTGCTTGCACTGGGTGGACAGCAGCATGGTTCCGCACCAGTTCTTGCAAACACTTAGGTAGCCAACTCCTCAATGGGAGTTTGACAAGGTAGCCCTTCTTCCAATCAATGGGCAGGTACCTTTCCTTCCTTCCTTCCTTCCTTCCTTCCTTCCTTCCTTCCTTCCTTCCTTCCTTCCTTCCTTCCTTCTTTCCTTCCTTCCTTCCTTCCTTCCTTCCTTCCTTCCTTCCTTCCTTCCTTCCTTCCTTCCTTCCTCCCAAACCTTCTGCAGTAGCAGGGTGAGCATGTCCGCTGTTGTCTCTGCGTCTGTTTTCAGTGCTTGTGGAGGAATTCCATCTGGTCCTGCTCCTCTCCCAGATTCCAGCAGCCTAATGGAGTTCAGGACTTCACTTCTGCTTCTGTCGGAGGGCTTGTGCTCACTGGCAATTCTGTGGTTGCTGACTGTATTTCTAGATGAGTTGCAGCTGGTCGTGGTTGTAGTGGTTGATTCAAGAGTTTTCTGAGGTGGTCAGTCCATTGTTTCCCCCCTTCCTCCTCTTTGGTAGCTAGATTTCCCTCACTATCTCTCATTGGCTTCATCTGCGTCGATCTCTTCCCCACCAGATAATGACCTGGTCATTTCATATAATGTTGTCAAGTCTCCTACCCTACCAGCTGCCTGTGCTGCCTCACTTACCAATGTGTCGTAGAGGTGTTTTTGTCTTTCCGTGCACTCCTCTTCACTTCTTTGTCCAGTGTAGTGGTGTACAGGTCGTGTTCAGTTCCTCTCTTCGTTGTTCATCCCTGCACTGCACTGCTTTATCTTCTGCTTCACCATCTTCCTCTCCCCGCTCTATCACCTCCCATGTGTCCGTCGAGATCCATTCCTTGTCTTCCTTCTTCTTCTTCCTTCCTACTACGGTTGTACAGGTTTCCTTCCACACCTCTTCCAGAGAGTTCCAGTGTTCTTCCATGCAGGTTTCTTCAGGGATGTTGCTCAATGTCTCCCATTTTATCCTGATGACTGACTGAAAGTGAAGACGTCCCTTGAGGTGTCGTCCTTCAGTTTATGTTCCACGTGTTCAGCTTCAACTGTGGTCTATCACCAACTTCCTTAAAGGCCTTCAACCTGATTTTGAAAGTTCCTGATTTTGCACAAGAGGGTGAGTGGTGTCAACCTACATCTGCTCCCCTTCTTGATCTGATCTTGTGTCCAGTAGGCTGGCTGCGTCTCCACTTTCTTCACATCGAGATGAAGTCGATCTGATTTTTAGTGTAATGCGTCCATCTGGTGAATAGTGTAATCCATATCACCTTGTGGATATCCTTCTGCTTGAACACAGTGCCTCTAATCACCAAATCGCTGAATGTGTAGAATTCTGCAAACAATTCTCCATTCTCGTTCATCACCACACCGAGCACTTCTCGATCCATTGTTAGTTATCTTCCTGTGTTATCTGCTCCCAGTTTAGCATTCATGTCACCCCATCCATTAGAATGTTGATGTCGCCAACTGGGGTGAGGTGGTGCCCAGTACTGATTACAGTTGTCTGTAGAATTCCTCCTTCTTCTTTTCATCTGCATTATTTGTCGGTGGACAGCGTAGCATTGTATGATTGTGACTTTCCTTTCTTTTCAGTTGAATCTTACCATCATGATCCTGATCCTGCAGGAGGAGATTGGTTTTCACTGCATGAGAGACAGAGCCTTTGATGCTGTTGGGGACATCATGATAGCCACTGGGAACCTCAGTGTGCTGTGCTCGTGGTTGTCGTCTGGGTGACAATATCGGAGTAGATTACTGAGTCTCCAGTTTCAAGAACCACTTCCATTCCATCTACTTTGGCAGATTCTTAGCACTTCCATGCCA